ATGATGATAATGATAATAATAATAATTGCCGGTGGGTGTCTGCTGTCTTTGGTGAGGTGTGGGGTGGGAGTGTTCAAAGGGAGGAGTTGGGGTGTGGCTGCAGGGCGCAGGGTTTTTTTGTTTTAGCATGCTTCTTTGGGTTGCTAGAAGGTGGTAGGGAGGCCAAGGGCTGAGCCTAGTGTAGTCACTATCAAGCCCCCATACATCCTGACCCTAAACCCTACACCNNTTTTTGGTAAGGAATTATAGTATACTATCCAAAAAGGAACTACATAGGCGCCCTTGGGTAAACCCTACACCCTAAACCCTATACCCAAAACCCTAAACCCTAAACTCTAAACCCTTAACCCTGAACCCTCAACCCTGAACCCTAGACCCTCTATGAAACCCTACGACAAACCCCTTGCAGCCTGCAGTCTCCTTCTACATTGGAAACTCGGGTACCCTTGCAGGTGTACTTAGGTTCTGGGTCCTTTCTTTGAAGTAGGGCTTAGGGTTTCAGGGGGTTTTAGGACAAAACTCAGAGGAGCAGGATTCCTGTAAGGGCCCCTCTACTGCTACTGCCTTCTGTAAGGTTTTGCATTCCCTGAAAGGCCCTCGAAAAGCGGACTTGGATCTTGTACCCTCAGCTCAAGCCTAAACCAGAACAACTCTCTAAACCCTGAACGCCGGAACCCTAAACCCCTAAACCAGAGAAAACAAAGAAGTGAAGAGCCGCAGAGGCACGGGCACCAGCTGCCCAAACGCTCTGAGCTCCTGCTGCAGTCGTCGCTGCGAGGCTCGAAAGGTTCTTTTGCCCGTAAGACGCGCCCACGGCTCCGAGGTTCGTAAAAACTCGGCTTCTCAACCGCCTTTTCAGACTTAAGGCTTGCAGGGTTTCGGGCTCCGGTTCCAGAAGTCACTTCCGCGCAAAACCGCTGGTTCTCGGGGTGTGCAGTTTGGGTTTCGGCTCAGGGTCTTGAAGCCGGTGGCCCTCTTAGTCGCTATGTGTTCTTCTTGCACTTTTTTGCTACTGCTGCTGTAGTGGCACCCCTGGCAGCAGCAGCAGGAGCAGTAACTACTACCGCAGCTGATACGGAAAATGGGAACCCCTACCTCCTCCTCCTCCTCCTCCTCCTCCTTACTGCCACTACTACTACGACGACTACAACTCCGCACAAAAAAAGTCCGATCATAATACAAACAGTGGGGACAAACAATCGTGATTGTGATGATATATTCATAATCATAACCACAATCATAATAATGAATATCATAATAATACTCATAACCATAATAACCATCATCATCATAATCATAGCCCCTAGTCATCAAACTCATAAGCCCGCGTTGAACCCCTGTCCTTCCCTGCGCCGCCAACTCCCGCTCCGCCGCCAGCAGGGGGCCGCTGAGGGCAAAGAGTCCCACCACGCGCATGCCTTGGGCTTAGGGCTTAGGGCTTAGGGTGAAGGGCTTAGGGTTTAGGGTGAAGGGCTTAGGGTTTAGGGTGAAGGGCTTAGGGCTTACGGTTTATGGTTTAGGGCTTGGGGCCTAGGTTCAGGGTTTCACAAGCAAGGCTTTATGTTGGTTTTCATATGAAGGCTTCAGAAGGGTTGTTCTGAGGGCTTCTTTACGGTATTTTAAAGGGAATTGCTTTCGGGGTCTGTCAGGACGCTCATTAACATTAGGTTTGATAGTGGCTTTATAAGGGCTGCACAATGGCCTTGAAATGAGATGACGAACACGGGCTCTCAGCGGTTTTGTACGGGTTTTAAGAGGGGCTCCGCCGAGGTTAAAGGTTTAGGGGTTTGGGGGTTTGGGTTTCAAACTAGTGTTTGAAGCTTGGGGGCGTGATGGTCTAGGGTTTGGGCACTTAGGCTGCCCTAAACCCGAAACCCGACTTAGGCTTTCGCATTCGTGGTTCAGGGCTCAGTCTCCTGATTGCGGGTTCCGTCTTGAGCGGGTGTACTAGACCTGCGCGGTGTGATAGTGGTTCATACAGCTTGTAGTTGCTACCAGCTACGATAAAGCCTAAACCCTAAACCCTAACCCTTTGTAGACCCTGAACAGCGCTCACATTGAAACCTCGAAGTGTCTGAGACCAAGACCCAAGTCTTGCACATGTCAACCCGGAAACCTAGCCCCCCCTGCGTTTAGGGCTTAGGGTTTAGGGTTTTAGGGTCCAGGGTTTAGGGCTTAACCCTAAACCCTAACCCCTAAACCCCTAAAACCTATAACCACAAAGACTTTCACGCTAAACTCCCTAAAACCGCCAGCCCGGAAAGCTAGAGCTCCAAACTGGGCCGGAGGTGCTGCCGCCTATGAAAAGCACCTGCTTCTCGGACACCTGCGCAAGCTTTAAACTTTAGGGGTTTAGGGGTCTAGGGTTTAGGGTTTTGGTTTAGGGTTTAGGGTTCAGGGTGAAGGGTTTAGGGTTTAGGGGGTGGCCGGATTGGTGATAAAAAGAGGGTTTCGGGTTGAGGGCTCCGGGGCACAGCTGACTCTGTGGCATCATCTGAAGAAGTTACTGCAACATTTACTCCTTTCAAGGAACCCTACTTTTCTTTACCAGAACATACCCGCAAACCCAGTTCTACCTCATAAGACCCCTATACTTAGCTGTTCAGTAGCCCAGTGGGAAAAAGCATATACCTTTTTGAGATAGTCGTATAACAGCAGGAACCAATCCCACAAAGGCAAAAAAAAGATACCACTGCAACCCTAAACCTTAAAAAGGACCTAAACCCTAAACCCTAAACCCTAAACCCTAAAATAAAACCTCAACATTAAACCCTAAACCCGGGAAAAAAAAAAAGAAAAACTGAACCCTAAACCCCAAAATTCGCCCCTTCAGCTCAGCACCCTTGGGGCCTCCTTCGCAGAGAGGAGGCGCCGGACCTTGAACATGATCCCCATGGAGCTGGCCTCGGCCCCAAGAGACCTGGGCTTATAGGGTTTAGGGTTTAGGGCTTAGGGTTTAGGGTTTAGGTGTTTCTTTGTGGTTTAGGGTCTTGGTTTTTGGGGGTTTAGGGTTTAGGATTTTTTGGGTGGTTTAGGGTTCAGGGTTTAGGGTTTACGTAGGATGAATGTTAAGAAAGTGAAACAATGGCGTTTACGGTGGCAGGGAGTAGATAATACGGTTACCTTCTTTTGCTCGTTCCGTTATAAAGCCATCACCGTCAACCCTAAACCCTTATACCCTTAACCCCTAGACCCTGAACCAAAAACCCCTAACCCTCAAAACCCTGAAACCCCCATACCCTTAACCCCGAACCCTAAAACTTTGATGAAAATACGCTCCTTCTTTAGAACCCCTTAAGGAGCCCTTAAAGGAAAGCTTACACTTTAACCACAACTGCTCGAAACCCTAAACCCTAAATCCTAAACTCTAAGCCCTAAACCCTCACAACAAGAGCCCAGGGGCAGGGCAGCCATGGCTGCGCCGAAGTCCAAGGTGCCGGCGGTCGCGGCGGGCCATTGGACCACGGATCCTTAAAGGGTAGTATAGGGTCCTAGAACAGGGTCCCCCTCGGAATTAATCTAAAGGGTAGTTTTGGGTTGTAGAACGGGGTTTTTTGTGGACCGTAAAGGGTCGTATGGGGTTCTAGAACAGGGTTTTTTTGGACCTTAAAGGGTAGTATAGGGTTCTGGAACAGGGTTTTTTTGGACCTTAAAGGGTAATTTTGGGTTCTAGAACAGGGTTTTCCTTGGAATTAATAATAGGGTACTGTAGAGTTCTATAATGGGGTCCCCCTTAAAGGGCACTATAGGGTTCTGTGGTGGGGTCCGCTTTAACTAAAGGGTACTATAAGGTTCTATACCAGGGTCCACTGTAGGGTTCTACAATGGGGTCCCTTGTCAACGGTACTATAGAGTTCTGTGATGGGTTCCCCTGTCAAGGGTACTACAGGGTTCTATCATAGGAAGGGGTACTACAGGGTTCTCTCATAAGGTCACCTTTAGGATATACTGGGGTTTCGCTTTAAGGGCAGAAAGGGTAGCATTTGCGGGTTTAAGATCTGGGGTTTAAGGCTTAGGGTTTCGGATTTGAGGGTTGAGGGTTGAGGGCTTGGGTTTTCGGGTTGAGGGTTTAAGGCTTAGGGTTGAGGGTGTGGGCTTCAACTCTGGCAACCCCTCAGAACGCCGGGGCTTTTGTCAACGCGCCTCCTTAAACAGGAGCCATTCATGTAGGGTTCAGGGTTCAGGGGTTACGGATATTGTAGGTCTTCGGGCTCTGGACTGGACAGCGGATCTTTAACCAAGACCCATTCCCATTCATTCTCGGATGTTCCTCACAGTGTAGCAGACTTGACCCGTATACCTATTGCGCATTGCCAAAGTACATTGCCGGAGCTCTTAAATACGCGATCCTCGACTAGGGAAAAATTGAGAACTGCACTTAAACCCTAAACCCTACATGCCTCAGAATCCTCAACCCTACACCTGTAAAGCCCTTAATCAGGCCAGGCATCCCAGGGAGAACTGCCTCAAGGACGGGGCCTCCTTGCTGGAACCCCGCATGACGGCGCGGTAGCAGGGGCCCCGGGCACTGGGCAGCGCGCCGAGGGCGGATTTCCTAGGTTCTCAGGACCGTGGGGGCTCTAGTTCTTAATGGTTTAGGTCTAATTTTGGGTGAAGGGTTCAGGGTTGAAAGGTTTAGGGTTTCAGGATTTAGGGTTTCACGGTTTAAGGCTTGGGGTAATCCCGTGAACATATTAAGGGTCTGCTTTTCAAGTTGGAAAAGGAGACCCCAGAATAGAAAAGGGTACTACTTGGGAACCTAGCTTCAGGAGGGGCATGTAGAGCTGGCACTGCGCATGGACGTCCACGAAGGTCGCGGCGGCGTGCAGCGCAAGGAGGTGGATGGCTGACAGCCCCGACCTGCCCTCACCTTGTGCGATCTCTCGCTGCACCAAGAAGCGGATGATGCTGGCCTTGGCGGGGCCCAGCAAGTCCAACAATGCAGTGGCAGCCACTTCCTCCTTGGCTGCGGCTTCTTCCTGCTCGGCTGAGATGGAGGTGACGCGCGTCAAGGCTGGAGGCTGCATCGGTACAGGCAGCAGGCCTCCGATTGCCGGTGCATCTGCTGGCCTCACTTCGCTGATGCCGAAAAGCATCTTCTCTCGTAGGTCTTGCAGTCGGGATAAAGGAGTGGCACCGGCAAAGTGCTGCACTGCCTGGGGTAGGAGGCTCCAATCGCTGGGATCGAGAAGGCGTGCAGCTGCAGAAGGTGCATCGCTGCCGGTCTTGCTATCCTGCGACTGGCGTCGGGCCCGTCCCAGGCGTCGAAGTCCCTCCAGGTCTGCATTGCTCAGAGTTACACCCGCGTCAAGCATGGCCCTGGCGGCTTGCTGCGAACTGGACCACTGGGCCCACATCAGGGCCGACGGACTCGCACCTGGCAGGGGATCCTCCGATATGTCCGTGGCAGCAAGGAGCTTGATTGCTTCGGCATCGTCCATCAACGCTGCAAGCGATGTCGGCCGAAGGGCACCCACCCCGGCACAGACGGCCACCACTTTGGGATCTGAGCCGCATTCGTCGAGCACCTGCTTGAACGCCTCATGGACTGGCAAAGACTTCGTGGCGCCCTCGGGCCAAAGCCGCCGCAGCAGCGTCCAGCGCTGCGGTTCGAGCACGGCGCGCACCTGCTCCTGTGCAAACCTGGGGTCTTGTCAAGGAACTAATAAGTTACCACGGTGAGGGAACCCTATTATTTACAGTAGATCCCTGCTACGGCAACTTAAAAGACAAGTTCCTTAACTCAAGGACGCAGGAACTGCGTGCCCGCGGCTCGGGGGAGCCCGGCGGGCTGCGGCCTTACACCGCGCTGCAGCAGCAAATCACAGGCTCGGTCCAAGCCACCCAAGGCCGCCAGATGGAGGATGTTGCTCCCCTCCTCCAGGCTTACCAGACAAAGTATGCATGGTGGCCGCTTCGGGTCTAAAGCCTTTATGGCATGCAGATAATATAGTCGAATTTGGTATGACACATCAAAGATCGCACCAGAGCAATTACATTACATGACGGCATCTTCCGTTGTATATAGTGCATTGCATCATACGCTAGGCGCGGTATGTTATACTCTCTATGCACAGCTAGCGTAATGCCACTACTCGCTATACCTAGTAGTCGTGAAGTATCAGTTGTTCAGTCGGGACCCTTGAATATTGTTCATGCACCAGTTGATACAAAATACCAACTACGCATATTGTTATGTAATAAAGAGCACTACTAGCTATACTGTTGATTCTTGTTGCTAGTACGTTTAGGCGGTCTTCCAATACTGTTAGATGTATGACTACTAATTGCATTGGTAACCGTACTCTTAGTCGTAGCCGCGGTAGGAGTCGTAGTCGCAGCCATCGTCGTCGTCGTCGTGGTCGTCGTCGTCGTCGTTGAAGGGGCAGCAGTAGCAGCAGCAGCAGCAGCAGGAGGAGGAGTAGTAGTAGTAGCAGCAGCAGCAGAAGCGGCAACAGGAGGAGTAGCAGTAGCAGTAGCAGTAGCAGTAGCAGTAGCAGTCGCAGTGGCAGTGGCAGTGGCAGTGGCAGTGGCAGTAGCAGTAGCAGTAGTTCTCGTCGTAGTAGTGCAGCAGCAGCAACAGTCATAGCAGTCGTAGCAGCAGCGGGGACAGTACCAGAAGGT